AATGAAGAGGAATTAAAAATAGATATTTGCCCAAATTTAGAACCACTCTAAAATCGATGTGTATTTCAGTGCGAGGAGTTAAGCTTTGGAATGATTGATGAATTAAAAACCTGTTCTAATATAATGCATTTTAAATATTTGTTTAAAAAAAATGTTATAAGGAAATATGTAGAGGACAGTGAATGATGCCCTCAGCATGAAGCTAGTGGTGAGAGGGTGTTGAGGCAGAGAGTGTTTGGGCCAGTGTCTTTTGTGAGGGTGTGTGTGTGAGTGTGTGTGTGTTTCTGTCTTGTTTTATATCAGTTATATACTAATAATTGTTTTTCTGTGTGAACTGCAGGAATACTGTTGTTCTGGAATTACTTTGTTCGTATATTGTATTTGTATTGTATTTTGTGTTGAATGTGAGGGGGTTTGGAATTATATAAGCGTTGCTTCATCCACCTCCTTTTCAAACCATGCATTTGTATAAATAGTTAATATAGCCTGTAATGTTGATTTGTGAGAACGAGAATGCGGGTTTGAAATAAACATCATCATATCATATCATATCATCATATCCCAGGAACTTTTTCCCCCCAGACCTGTTACTGTCTGTGTTCCCATCGTGGTCTAAAGTACCGTGAAGATTAGGCAAATTAGTCCGGTGATGTAGGTCTGCGTTCTCCTTTCCAGTTCCCACTGGATTTCATCCTCTGAATTTAAGCTTAATAAAACCTGAACCTTGTCGTCTGTCCATCGGTTGTATTTTTAAACTCCATTGTTGATTAGAATAGCAAACCACTCTTACTGCACGCACCGCAACAGACTTTAAAAAATGGTGGCTGAAATAAAATGCTGTGTGGAGTCAACCAATCAAAATACTGCATGAAATCAACTAATCAGCATGTTTAGCATCAATGCACCCCTGAAAGTTTGAAAAAGTACTACCTCGCCAACAAGGACTTTTTGAGGGGCAAATTCCTGGGGAAAGTTCCTGTGGTTGAAACAGAGAAAATTAAACCAAAACAGAACATACGTGTTACACCCACCCACTGGGAAGGCGTGTCCTCATGCCATAACAGTCCAACTGAGGAAGGGCATCAACTGATTGATGGTGGCGATGACAGTGGGAGGAGCAGGGATGAGAGGAGAGCAGGAGTAGCCAGGTGGGGACCCAGAGTACAGCCAGGATGAAGGTATACTGCGAAGTTGAGGGAGGGAGGAGCCATGGTGGAGACTTGGCCGATGAAACCATGGAGGCGATGGACGGCGACTGTGCCAATGGAGTTGGAGAACCATGCAGAGCTGAAGAGCCGAGCATCCAAGGTGGAGCCCAGGAGGTCAGAGGACCAAGACGGAGCTGGAGGGAAGATGGAGGCCCGGAAGTCCATGAAGCAGACAGAGCGACCTCCTACCAAGGCGAAGCCATAAGGGTGATAGACCCAGGTGGAGCTGAGGGAGGAAGGAGACAAATGGAACCGACTGGTCACCGAGCTGAGGTAAAGTGATGGCTGGAGGTGGAGCCAGGGGATCCTTAAGCCAAGGCAGAACTGGTGACTGGAAGATCCAACATGCATCGACACAGCTTTGTGGAGCAAATAAAGGATGATGAGCTGAGGAGCTGAAGAGAACCATCCTCTTCTGAATCCTCAAATAAAAAAGGTGGAGGCCAAAATTTGCTGGGCTTTCTTTCGTCCCACGCACCTGGTCAGACTTTTCCATAGGCTCATGCTCCTGGGTGATGGTTGGCCCAGTCCTCATTACTGCGTCTTTCATGGTGGCTGGCTGGGCTCTCGTCTGGTGTGGGGATGGTGATGTCCTCTTCAGCATCGCAGATGGTGAAGGCAGACCCGCAGGTCACCAGCAGGCACTCCACAAACTCAGTAAATGCCCCCCGAGCACCATCACTAGGAGAGGCATGCCTTGGTGCGTTCGTTTAGCTGGTCAGAATTTGCACAAGGAGTGATTGGGGAAGTTTGTTAGGCACGACAGTAAAAATTCTCTGGTATAGCTGCTCTAAGCCATTTTTGTCTTTTTTATGTCTGGTATTCTATCACACATGAATATCTGTAATGAAGCACACGAGGATGAAGGAATATCACAGAAACACAGAGAAAACTAAACAAAAACAGAACATACATGTTACAGATGTAGCCAAAGCAATGGTTATTATTCATCTTCTAGTTTTTTAATGCATATATTTTTGTCTGATCACAAACATACAATTTGTTAAAAAGATTAAAAAACAACAGATGGAGAGGTTTTTCATTGCATGTTTTCTCAGGGAGCTTGAAACAAACACATTGTGTTTTTTTTTTTTTTTTCCAAGATTTTGTTCCCTTGGGAAACATGGCACTTTGAAGCAGAAAGACATTTTCAGATATTCTGTTGCACCTGTGCATCCACTGTGCCAGCTCTCTCACCCAGACTGAACTCAACCAACTCACTGTTTTGAATTTCAGTGATCTGCTCTGCGCTGGCACACATCTGTTTAAAGTGACACAGATGCTGCACAGTGTGGTTGTGTGCAAGATAAGAACACAAGTGTATTTTATGAATTTATTTGGGTTGCCTTGACTTGATATATGATGCCATCATACGTTTTGTGGCTTAGTTTTCATTGAATCTTTATTTGATAAATGAAATAGTGATGGCATTAAGTCAGTGAGTTAGTACTGTAGTTAGTGCTTAAAGGAGCAATGTGTGACTTTTAGCGACATCTAGTGGTTCGGTTGCGAGTTTGCACCAGGTTTGCACTAAGGGCTCAGCCCACTGCTCACCCCTCCCTTTCGAAGAAGCTACGGTTGCTAAAACGGGACAAACATCTCGTCGGCTGAGACAGCAGAGAATAGCCAGAGTAAGCCAAGAGTGTGTAACATTGTCACTGTTTCTGTACCACAGTCCATTATAAACCACATCATGAATACTGTTTACAAAGCCATAGTCAGTTGAGGATCAAGGGTTTTAATATATAATTTAATAAAATAATATTAATCAGCTGATTGTCTCACAAACGTAACCAGCAGCACATTTATCCCCACATACTGTAGCAAACCCATAATACAGCGAGGGAGCAGCTATATATTTTTTCTAACAGGGTAGTAATAGTTTAGCTGGCTAATATGAGCTGTTGCTGTGGCTGAGCTGGGACTCGTCCGCATGAGTCCAAAGGTCGGAAGTGCGCGCGCAGTTACAATCATGTCATCTCCGCATCCCATAGATACTATTTACTACACACAATAGGCTTTTTTTCTCTGATTTTGAAAAATCTTCGCGATCGACTTTAGTGATAAAAGACTTTAGTAAAAGTCTCTATCGACGGGTTAGTGATTCCTGTAACGTATTGTTTTACGGTCAATGACATGAATACTAATCATCAGCTGTCTCACGAACGTAACAGCACATCTATCCCCAACATAACAAACCCATAACACAGCGAGGGAGAACTAAGTTACATGAAACAATCCCAACTACATATTTTACACCACTCACAAGGGAAAAGTCACTACTCACGGAGTGTAAGGCTAGCTTCCAGCTTTCCGCTACTTCTCTTTCAAGGTAGTTATGAAACGCGTTCTGTAGCACTGTGTGTTCGCGTTCGGCTACGGTAGGAATATGACGTCACAACATGGCGACCTTCATAGAAGGGGATTCCTGCGGTTATGGAGCTATTAATGTCTCATTCTAAGGTAATAAAAACATTACGGTTAATTAAGTAAGTTCTTTATACACCACTGAAAACATAGTTATGGATGTCATATTGCATTTCTGTTAATAGATACTCAACTTTGTTACACATTGCACCTTTAAACATTAGCTTTGAAGGCACATTAAGCTGATTACTCTCATAATCAGAAGATCATTCTCGTTGATATTTAACCCCCTTAATGCAAAAGAATGTGGAGGTTTAAATGTTACATGGAAATTTGGGAATACTAGCACAATCTAGTGACTAACTTAAATCAGTTAAAACAGAAGCTAACCTTAAATGAACAGAACACTCTCAATGACCTTACATGAGCAATGGATGCTCATGACCTCAATGCACAACTGCTACCGGGGATTATACCAAACATTTCTATAGCCATTTCAACTAACCATTTCTAGATGGTCTTGTATGTCAGTACCCTTAAAAAACTGTGATTAACTCAGCTTTCAGCACCTGTTAAAATCTGTGATTGCGATCTCTCATGACATTTACTGAAAACAGTGGCTGCAATAAGATTTCTTTAGGTTTTACTTTAGGTAATTACAGAGAATGTCTAATTGAAGAGAATTGCCACTGGCTGGGTTACTTCCGGGTTCTGGACTGGTTGCAGTAACGTGTCTCTGTCCATGCAGGGGCGCTCGCGGTCGAGTGCAGAATGAATGGGAGTCAATGGGGTTTCACCCCCAGAAATCCACTTTTCTCAGGATGTAATTTTTTGTCAAGTAATTTGAAAGTTGCATTCAAAAGGGAGGGCTAAGAAAATACACTCAGCTGAAAATTGCATTTTTAAGTTCACTTATCTGTTCTAAAAATCCGTTCAAAAATGTGATGACGTCACACAATAGCAGAATGCTAGCGTGTTCTGGCCAACAACAGCCTAACCTGTAAGAAATCAAAAGGACATATGTACTCATTCATTCGACTTTTGGCCTATAATCTATATTGAACTTGCGGAATCAACAATAAAATCTATTTTGATTTAACGACAAGCAGGTGAAAGAGACACATTTAGCCGTTTAGCCCCATAGACTCCCATTCATTCTGCACTCGCCCGCGATCACCTCCAGTGGAATTCTAATGGAACTGCAACCAAGGTGATGCACAATAGGGCTAATAGGAAGTGCCAAGGCTCGCTTTGTGCACCAGTTTAACCTTTGTTTTGGCATGCTTAGCAGCATTCAGCAGCAGCAAGTTCCAAAATTTCCAAAAAAAACTCAAAAAATTTTAAAATTTAGATGCAGTTTTAACAGTTTTAAATGGCTCAGTTTTGACGAAAACAAATGTACTATTAATTTTATACCCTTCACAGGGTAATGCTGGATCCTCTGCTGCTGGAATTAAGGTAAAACACAACCTCAGAATAATTTTTATCTTTAGTCCGTGTTGTTTAGCAAGATCTAATTTTTCATTTGATATGAGCACTTAAATGCATTCTTATTGTTACAGGGTGAGCCAGGAGAGCCAGGACGTGAAGGACAAAAGGTAAAACTGCATACTGCACTGAGTATTCACTTAAGATTGTTATTGTTTGGAACAAATGACTGCACATGTGTTTTAATAAAGTTTAACCATAAAGTATTATAGCAACATTATTTTCTGCACCGTATGACTGTATGAAGCAAAGCTTACCAACATTTGCGTGCTGCTATTAAGTGAGACACCAACTACTTAAGAAAGAAAGCGCTTTTTAGCAAGGTCAGCTTCCTTTCCAGCCGGATTTCAGGTGAACTAATATAACTTAAAAATGCACTTTTTATTTGATGTTTTTAGGTAACCTTTTAGTTTGTGCCTTAGTATACCTTGGCATAAACTATTCATTTACTGAGAATTGAACTCATTTCCCGCTCCAACATAAGCCGTAAAAACATAATGCTATTATAGTTTGTCTACTTTGTATTATTTCTTTGTTTTGCATCCCTTTATTACTTGTTATGTTTAAAACAACATTCAGGCTTCACTGAATAATCAATCTGCTCCAAATTCAGTTCTAAGGATACAAGAGAACAGCTTGAGTTCTCTTGCAGAAATCTTCATCACATTTACAGGACTTAAATGGTCACTTCACCCATTTGCATTAAGCTTTGTATTTTTAGAAACCCAGTCATATTTTCGAATGGTCATGGTTTATTCCCTTATTTTCCCCTGAGATGGGAGAAATAAGGATTTAAGTGTTTTACTTCCTGCTTATCGTGACGTAAAAATCGTCATTTTGCGTCACGATAAGCAGGAAGTCATATTTCATTAAAATCTTTAGAACTACAAAGATTAGCTCATTATTATTCCAGGGTGTGGGACCCACTCACCCTACAGGCCTATTACAGATCAGTGGGTGGGACTTCACTTGCAGAAACTGAAATCAATAAACGCCATCTTGTTTGGAAGCTAAGCTAACAAGCGCTGTGGAGATAGTAAGTTATGACAATGACGGAAGAAACTAAACATGATATGGAAGAAGAGGATTTTGAAATTCTGCTGCTCGAATCCGATGTTCGTGGCTATCTTTACGAGTCGCAGTATAGTTTAAAGCAGCCGAGGCTCATGGAGGAGCAGGAGGCTGCCTGTTGGTCGAGGACCCCGGACTGACTCTGGCGCTGGGCGGCTTGCTGGTGCCCATGCTCTCGCTGCGTGCTACGGCCTACGGACACAGCCCGACACAGCCCGTTCTGCTGCAGAGAATTTCAACGATGGCAATTTCTCCTGGAGGAAATCTCTGAATCAGACGAGCACACGGACGTTTGTGTTGTGATAGTTTCGCCTGACTAAACATCCAGGTAACATGCAGTTATTCACCATATAGAAAGAAATACAAAGAGGAGTAATTCACTAATGAGTTTGCCAATGTAACGTTAACGGGGTTTGTTGTTGTGGGAAGAAGAAGGCAGGAACTGGCGAACATTTAAACATTTTAATAGTAAAATGAACAAATACAAAACAAAAATATAAGCCAGCAGCCCCTCCTTGACGACTGCTGTAACGTTACACACAACAGAAACAAAACACAACATAACATCAGGCCTGTTTCTCTCTCAGTCTGCCGTCGTCGCTCCCCGTTTTATGCTTTTGCTTCTCCGTGAGGTCCCGTGAGGTTCGCGCCTCACAGGTGTCTTTCATTATCAGTCTCTGTTATAACTCACACCACTGGCCTCGCGCAAAGCGCCGTCCTCTTACATCCCTCGCCCTCGATCGTCCTGCTTGCCACGGCCAACTAGACATTTTTTGTGAAATGAATTTCAAACTCTGGTGACAGCTAATGTTAGCCTTGTAGACGGAAGAGTGAATTCTCTGTTTGCACTGTCCCGGATTAGTGGGTGTGGCTTGCAGATCTGTGCAATGCGGGGCATTGTGGGACATGTTGTCTATTAATACTTAGGCGCCCCTTGGTTATTTTCTGTCTTTTCTCGGTCAAGAGGGCACCAAATTAAAAAAAAATTATTTTACATTTCGACTACATATATGATCCATTTTCAATAAAGATTAATGTTGCAATGGGTAAAATGCTCCTTTAAAAAAAGTTCTGTGTAAACTTACAACTCTAAAACTACAGTCTGAGATCTTTTTAACAGCACCCTTTTGAGCACCAGTCCTACTTACTTTTCACATGCGTATTTATTTCAACAGAGAATGAGCTAATTAACAACAGAATTGTATCATAGTTACGTGGTATGTTAGTGCTTCTGAGGTTTTAGTTTTTATTCCTCATTTCTCATGATATACTGTGCCCAAAGTAATATAATAATGTCGACTGTCATGCGATTATTTTTTCAAATCTAATTTAATTACATGATATGTCGATTAATTAATCTTTTTTATCGCCAAATTAATCACACATTAAATTTGGCATCAAATTTTGATCCCCAAAAGTTCATTTGAAGTCATTTGAAGTCAAAACATCAAATAGACATTACGAATATAGCTTTAGAAATAAATATTTTATTTGATTCAACATAGAATTTATTATACAATTTGTTTAAGGTTACTGCAGCCTAAACAGAAGCCGATTCTGAATTGGTATTTAGATATATTTACAGACCAAAACTTCTCAGGTTACAGGTTACTGAGAACAGGGAACGAGACACTGCGTCGAATGATGCTTTGGGTGTGTCTGAAATCACAATCAAATCACGGCAATCACATTGACCGGTGAAAGTTGAAATTCATTAATGAATCATTAATGTGAATGATTAACTTGCAACCTGGAAGTATAAAAGGGTTACAAACATGACAATATCCTTTCATCTGAAAAGACTGTTTGGTAGGCAGGCCCCGAGGCATGGTAAGGACATGCAGTGTCTCGTTCCCTGCAAACCCGGCTCCAGACAACAAATTCACGGAAGGGCATTACATTTTTTTCAGGGGCCACGTTCTGAGTACGATCGTACGATCTTTTTTGCTCCTCATCCACCTCCAGCCTGGTCCATCCAACTATCCCAGACAAAAAAATGGACCATAAAAGGGCTGAGTCAAGCGCTAATTAATTCTGAAGTTAAAATTTTTAAAAAGATTAAATAAAGAAGAATTGTTTAATTTATATGTCTCCTTGCTTTCGACTCACCCCTCTCTTGCAGCTTCCACTCCATCTGCTCGAGCGAGCAAGGCCCGCCGGCTGCCAACCTTGCATTCAGCAGCTTCTCCACCTTCCTCCCATACAGAGCCGGTTCTGCACCGGCGTTACTCCACTCTGTTGTGTTCTCTTATTCCGTTGCTGGTTTATAAATGTCCACAAGATGGAGGTATTGTGCTAGAGATGAAAGTAGGAAGGAGAGAAGAAATGGGTTGTGAGATAAAGAATGAAAAGTAAAGAGATCTGTTCGCTACACTGTGTGCTCTCATTGATTCTCATGTGATTACACAACAAATTGGCGACGAGGATGGCAGTTCATCTTCCTCCTACATACAGTACTTACAATGTCCTGGTGAGCCTGCAGTTCCGTTTGGGATCTGGACGCAAATGTTCGAGAACTTCTTGTTGTTCATTCATTTTACACTCTTCCTAATACTGGTACGACCTATGCATCTGCCCTTACGGCTCTCAGAACTCGTTTTGTACCGAAAGTTAATGTCATTGCGGAACAACATAAATTTCGTCAAAGGGAGAAAAGGCATGACGAAAATATATTTCAGTACGTGGCCGCGCTTCATAACATGGTGTCATTATGTGCATTTGGTGACAAAGAAGATGAAATGCTAAGAGATCAAATTGTGGAGAAAGTGCACAGCAGCCAGATCCATGAACGCTTACTACTTGAAATGGATTTGATGTTAGAGGGAGCAGTACAAGTGGCCGTTCAAGTGGAAAATGCCATGGCTAATGCGAGTGAATTTGCAAAACCTGCCGACTTGTCAGTTCAACGGCTATATGTCAGAAAAAAAGAAACAACCATGCGTAGAACCACACAAAGTAAAATCTAGAGCCATTCTGCACGCAAATGTTATCGCTGTGATTCCAGCAGCCATTTGGCAAATGTGTGCCGCTCTGGACGAAGACAGGACATCAGAGAAATCACTGTCCTGAACTGACTGTTTTGTACATGACAACACATTTGCTGCTGCAAACAAAATGTGCGTCTTGTCACATATTCAAAAGAGGACCTTCCAGTGCTGGGATGTTTTAAGACGTCTGCACGACATGGTGAACATTCAGTACCTGCCATATTCTACACTGTGAAAAGTGGAAACACACTTATGGGCATGGACTTAATATATTCCTTGAACTTGCGCATAACAGAAAATAAAGTACTCAACCCCAAACAGTCAGTGCAACAAGTGTTCCATACTGATAGCCATCTTTTGGCTGTGCAAAGAACTACGTACACAAAGTGAAAATGCATGAAAACTTCATTCCTGTGCAACAGAAGCTACGCAGATTACCTTTTTCTGTAAGGGATGCTGTGTCTGCAGAGCTGAACTGCCTACTTGCAGCAGATATTATTGAAAGAGTGGATGTTTCACCATGGGTTTCGCCCATCGTAGTTACTCAAAAGAAATCTGGAGACATCAGAATGTGTGTGGATCTAAGGGACCCCAACAAAGCAATCGTTGTGGACAGCTACCCAATTCCACACATTAAAAAACTATTTTCACAATTGAGAGGTGCTGTGATGTTTTCTACAATCGACCTAGCAAATGCTTACCATCAGGTACCAATACATGAGGACAGAAGGGACATCACTGCTTTTATAACACATGATGGTTTGTTTAGTTTCAAGCGAGTTTGCTACGGATTAGCATCAGCCCCAGCGGCGTTTCAAAAACTGATGTCTTCTATTCTTAGGGGTGTTACAGGCGTCCAGTGTTATCTGGATGACATAATTCGCCTTTGGCTAAGCCCCGCCCCCCTTAGTTACTATTGCTACTTCTTTCAAACTTTATTCTGGGCTCTGGTTTGGTATCAACATGGCTTATGCTGTGACAGCTCTTCCTGCTGAAATGTTATCAAACTTTTATAAAGCAGCAAATAAAGTGTCAGATAGAAGTAGGCAAAA